TTGGGCAGTTTTCTAATTATAACTACTGACCCACCTCTCTATTTTAGCCTGTCTTTGAGATGCCATAGCAACGAGGCTAGGATGGGCCATGGAGGAACTAGCTGTGTTATTTTCAGCTGAGTTGTTCTTGGTTTTGGGCAACTCAAACTCTGCCACATGATAGTGCTGGCACTGAGTTAAGTAGTTTAAAAAGTGTTCTCGAGCCCATTGCAAATGATCTAAGCGCTTGCTGGGGTTGCCTTGTTTCATGGCGAGGGCTCCTTGAAATGCTGGCACCATCAGGTACTTCAGGTCGGTGGAAGCAATCTCTTCCAAATCTTCATTTTGGCTGGAAAAAGCAAAGAAGAGGCTGTGAAGCCTGGTTGGGTATTAAAACTGTGGCCCTTGCTTCCTGGGGGGTGGGGCGCGTTGGGGTGGGAGTGAGGCAAAGGGTGGAGGCACGCGGAACAGTGGCCTGGTTTTTTCCAGTGGCTGAGCGCTCACACCAGTCAACAGCAGATACTATGTAACAGAGTCGTGGGATATTGACTACTCAGGAAGAGAGGTGGAGAATGTAAACAATATACACGAGATCACAATGGGAGGCAGGCATGAAAGGCCCTTAGTCTTAGTCTCCTCCACCCAGGCCCAAAGGCTCCACCCTTGGTAACCATTATTACCTACGTTGTCAGCTATTACCCTCTCCCCATACCTGAACAAGTCGAGCTGCGCTAACATTTCGGCGGCCTGCTTAAGGAGCTGGAGTCCTTTCAACACCTTCTCTTGGACTGCCCGGGAACCGGTGGGCTCGGTCGCTACTTCCACTTCGTCCAGAAGCCGTCTGCTGATATCAAACAGTTCGGGCAGCCGTGGCAGCGGTAACTCGTCTTCTTCGGCTGCTGCCATCTTGAGGGAGGGAGGGACCCGGAAGACTTCACTTCCGGGGTTAAAAGCGACGCGCCACGGAGCTCTGTGAGAAGCTACGAAACCGGAAGGGGCGCTCCCTCGGTCCAGTGGCCCCATTGTTGCCGAAGCGCCAGGGAACCTCCGGAAGCAGCTGTTAGCCGGCCCTGGCAACCGTTTCCACTGGCTCTTTTGACCAGGCCGTCGTTACCTGTAGGAGGCCTCGGAGAAAAACAGGCGCGTGAGCAAAACGCTCAGCCCCCTTTCCGGCTTGCTCCTCCTCGCGGAGGCTGAGCTGGGAAGCTCCGCGGGCTCAGAGACCCGG